TCGGATGGGCAACAAATTAGCTTAGAGGCGTGTGTGCAGCCCTGGGAAACAGGAGGAGAACCTGTGGATTGTAAATATTCAAAAAACCAAGAAAGGGCGCAGAGAACACTGGCTAGTTAACAAAGTCGTGATGAAAAACTGAAGGTGGTGGCACTTACGTGTGATTGCCAGGATCTGAAGATGGGCGGCCGGTGTGGAGGATCGGGGCACTCGTGGTGTGGTGTCCGACTGTGATCGATGTATTGATCCAAGAGGTATATCCACGGGAGAGTGTAGATGAGAAGAGGGGACTTCGTCTGAAGTGCCGTGAGGGGTCTGTGCGGTGTGGGAGAGAAGCAGGGGGATCGCTGTGGTATCGGCAATAGGCAGCGGGCAAAGGACGGGGCTGTAACAGCCGCAGCTGAGTGTGTCTCAGCGAGTGGTAACTGTCAGATCTGCTGGGGACCATGTGCATCACCACTTTGTTAACTAGCCAGTGTTCTCTGCGCCCTTTCTTGGTTTTTTGAATATTATAGAAAACTATGTATTCTTAACAAATGACTTTCCATTTCTTCAGCAATACTGTCTATATAGCCTTCTTCGTTAGATAGTTTTTTTTTTACAAAAATTGGCCTTCTTTAGGGGTAGCATCTAAGACAGACAGCTCCATGCAGGGTACCCTGCTAGAAGCAAAGCAGCCTGAATTCCTCCAGCTGTGAGCTGGCTGCATTAGTGATCTGTATATGTTTGAAAAAGAATCTCATGGAAAGTTGAAGTATCACATGCCTGTACTGTGCTCAGTCAGAATTGATTTGTATTCCTGAGTCTGATGTTCATTCAGAGTATTTGCAATATAACCATTTTTATTTTGTTTCATGATACATATATGCAGAATGAATCCTGAGAAGTAGCATGCTGCAGATGTGTTATAAATGATTGATATAAAGTCATTGGAAATTGTAAATAGGAAATGTATTGTTGGAAAGGTAGAGAAAAAAAGGTTAAATCATCAGTGGGGAGGATCCCGTCAGATAAGTCGGGATGTCTTCTCATTGCGGCGCTTAGCCCCGCCCACCACCTAAAATAAGGTTTTACAGCCTTCCTGTGCATGTTGGCTAATTACAGTAAATTACATTATTTACTTATTTAGCCTAAGGAATGCATTCATAAAAAAAAAGATAGAACCCCATAGTTCTCCTTTTAACTATTGCTGGTGAAGTAGATAAAAAAGGTTAACAGCTAACCGATTTTATGAGCATGAGACCACTTTGCCTCTATTGCGTAGCATTATTGGGTTTCTGTATTCCCCATTTGCCTTTTGATACACTAGCATTGCTCTAATCCAACTATCCCAGGACTTATAAACATTTTCAGTATGAGGATGCACTATCCACAATATACTGTACACATGTTTCTTATAAGCTCTGATATCCTGCTCTTGTTTAGATTTAGTTCTCAAAATTTGCAACCTATTATGTAAAAATTAGACCCTTTGTGATACCTTTTATTAATGATATTTCATTAAAAGTATTGTAAAAGAAAATTTGCTCTGAACATGCATTAGCAAATCAGATGCAAACTGTGGACAGCCAAAGCACTATATGTACAAATGGTAAAGGATGTATGTATTCATCCTATATTCTCTCCCATCCTCTGGAACTCTTTAGCCCAACCTGTCCGTCTATCTCCTACTCTGACTGCCTATAGGCGATCTCTTAAGATTTTCTAATGTTCATTAAGACATTCTATAGTGAACTTCCAGTGTAAAGTGTACATAAAGCCCAGATTTTTTAGTTTTGGGTAGAATCCAGAATGGTTAGAACCCCTTTGTCAGACCTATATTGCCATCTTTGACCCTGTTCAGACGATTCACCCTCTATTTATCCTGGTGGCCATTGTCACTGGGACATAAAAGTAAAAGATAATCAAAATCTAAACAGGAACAGAGGGGAAGTCTTCTAATTGTGACACTTATTCCACTAACAGCTGCCCAAGAGAAGACTTGGAGAGATTTCCTGTTGCTTATCCAGGACAGTAAGTGAAGGGAAATAGGACACAGATTGCAGAATACAAGAGGCTTTAACCACACTTTGTGCACTCTGTCACCTCAAATCCTGAAAAGTATTTTTCTTGCCTTTAATACACTATCTTGATTGAGGATACACCGTGCATAAACCAAAACAAGAAAGAGCCTACTGAATCATTGAAATTGACCTTTCTTTTTAGGATCTACTTCATTGTGGTATGCTAAGAAAGAGAAATAGCCACACAGGTCCTTTTTTTTTTATTAATTCTTGCACATGTTCCTCTTAGAGGTATTGGTACCCCAAAACCAGTATTTTAAAAAAAAATGCTTTTTTGGAACTGCTTGTTTTTGTATTATGGGGTTATTGTACATGGAAACTGGACTTTAAAAAAAAAAAAATGTGATAGGGGACTTCTGTACATTTATAGGTGCAAATTCAGATTCATTCAGAAAGTGAGGATACTGCAAGGCAGCCAGGAACAGAAGGCAATTTGAAACATTTAACATGTAGACCCCGGGTTTCCTTAAACTTCACACAAGGAGTAAAGCACAAAGGTGATTATACAGATTCCTCATCCAAGAAGCAGTCAGTAAGCTGCAAAGGTGAAATAGGAAACAATAGTGGTACCCTTGCCGTCTGTTAGAGGTAACCGAATCACAAGACTTTCAGCAGAATTACTTGTATTTGAATTATTTGAACTGTAATCACGTTTATACAGGACAGAATCACAATATACTGTCCAGACTGTTAATATACTGTGCAAGACTGTCTTGATTCACCTAGAAAGAATCAGTTTGCCAATTTTTATCAACATGTTTTACTTCTCTTTATTTCCCCCCTAAAACTATTACTACTTTTACATTTTCAGAAATGCAGTTTTACCATTCCTATTGTTTTAGAGCAATCAACCTCAAACCTTAAATTAACTTTGATACACTATAAGGCTTTAATTGTTCCATAACAAAATATAATTAGCTCAGCTATAAACCCAACATATAATGGGAAATATGTAATTAACAAATTAAAGAACAACAACTTTATAGTCGTACACAAGATTTTCTTTAAATACTTAAAAGCACTGTGCGACATTTGGCCAAATATTGTGGAGCAGATTGCCTTCTATATAAACAGAAAATCTGTTTATTTAGTAATATTGGTTTGGGGGAAGAGGCAGAATGTAATAGCTGCGGAATTATAGCACTAACATTCAAATGAAACAGCTTGTTCTAAAAAGAAATTACTCATATAGCCAAAATTAGGGCAATCAGCACACAAGAACATCATCTCTGCAGGGGTTGTTGTTCAATACACTTTGTATGCTACAGCTTGAAGGAGAGCTGTGTATTGTTATGTAACCCTAAGCAAGGAAGGTATTGATCATGAAATTGATAAAAGTGGTGATGCCTTCTCCATATAAAACACATAGTGCAATTGTATGGCCTGACAAAATCCACAATAAAATGACCATTCTTGAATATATTCTTGAAATATTGGTTTAATTACATGCTGTGCAGCCAATTCCAGCATTCCATTATCGGGTGGCTTGCAGTTGAATGGCAAATAAAATACATGCCATGTAATTCACTACAGTTGGGAAACAGCTGAACTGGGGAACAGTAACAGTAAGTGAAGCAGCAGCTACAAAAACAAGTAAAATCTTTTGATGTAGAAAAAGTAAGATAAAATCTGTGTGTCTGTCAACTTATTTGAAACCGCACAATAATAACCGTTCAGCAAAAAGTATTCACCTCATTAGAAGTTTTCATGTTTTATTGTCATACCACAGTGTTTTTATACTGATCAACAGAAATACTTTCATGTGGCAGTGAAAAAGAGAGCTTTCCAAAGTAAATTAATTACAATGAAAAAACACATAATAGCGGATCGTGTAAGTATACACCCCCTTGAAGTCAGTATTTAGTAGATGCACCTTTGACAGTAATTACAGCCTTTGAGTCTGTGCGGATTGTTGTGACAGCTCTGCACAACAACTGGCTCCTTCCTTGGAATAATAATTGCAGATGATTTCAAATTAAATACATTTAAAAAAAAGTGCAGCAATACAGTTGGTTGAAAGTTAAAGCATATATAAACCCCCAACACATAAGCTCTCCTAGTGTGTCCCTTTTGATCTTTTAAGTGTACAATTGAAAGTGTTTTGTTATATCTGTCTGATACATTAAAAAAACAATACCTGTCAAACCTTTTGGAAATCTTTTGAGCTGATAACTTCCTGTGTTCTCTGCCTGTGTTGACTATATCAATTACATTATTCTGTGTTCTGAGGACTACTGAACCACACCCCATAGTCCTCTGACACCAAGGTCCACCCTGTATTAAGTGTTTATTTTTAAACACACACACACGTACAGATATGTGTGTATAATACACTTCTAAAATGTTTCTAAAAACTGCTTTACTTTAAGACTGCCTTTCTCTAAGGGCCCATTGATACTTGTCTGTTTTTCACAGATGTGTTTTCCATTAAAATCCATGTAAGTGCATCTAGATGTGCATCAACACATGCTCTCACATTTTAACATGGGTTTCAATGCACTTTGGGTTGAAGGAGTCACTTCTAACATCCCTTCCTTGCCACTGAGTGTCCTTTGTTGCCAGAACGCAGGCAGCTTGAACCACCTAGAAGTATTGTTGCTTGGACATGGGCAGTGCCTTGTCCTCCTAGCGTCCTTTGATGCTAGGACACAGAAGGCTGGAACTGCTTACCATCCTTCACAGCATTCTTCTTTGCTTTTAGCTGTCTAGCAACCAATAGGGCACATTTGTGCTATATGCTTTACGCATGCAAACGTTCCATGCGTACAGTGTACAGAGACGATTATATGTATGATTGTGCTGCCAGGAAGATCTATGTAAAAACATACACCTGTGTGCTTGAGCTCTTGAGGTATCACTTTGTCCTTTTACCTAATCAGATACTTCTTTGACATTGGATTGGTATGATAACTGCATTATTGTTTGTTGTTCTTACAGTTGCTGCTAATTTGCAGAAGATGGTAGATGACCCACTATCATATAAATCCTTGGCATTCAAACTAGTAAGTACTCAGACACAAATTTATTGGCAAAATGTTTTATTTGTCAATTATACAATTCTATGTTGCCTGCTGTTGAATAAAACCTGTGATGAGAGAAATATTATGGGCTGGTGCTATTTGGAAATACTAGTTGCCTTCGTCATGCTGATCAAATAGCTAAGGGGCCATTCACACTTTGGCGCCCTGGCATGGCACTGTTTTGTGTGTTAACATGCTTTGTGTTAAGGCAGCCTATTTAACACAATGGGCTGGTATTGTACCAAAATGTCACAAAAAAACAGATTTTATGATCAAGTGGTGATTGGACCATATTAGGGGCATGGTAAAAAGTTGGATTGATTCCGAACATCTTTTTAGGAAAGATGTCCATCAGACAGTGATACATCTGCCATTCTGACTTGCATGATGAATTCCTTTTTTTTTCATTGTCGGCAAACATTAGCCACTGGTAGACCAGCGAATGTATGTAAACTTTTAGAGTTACTCATCTACTTTTACACTGGTAGACGATATACAAAGGGGTTGGCTTGGGTTCTGCAGGAGCTCCTCCTTTACAACTAAATAATTGAACTGTAAAGTAGTAAAGGGTGGTGCAAGGGGAACCTTTTACCGGTTTACTGATGGAGACTGGATACCATTTGCCACATTTAATTCAGCACTTTAATGTACCATAATCCTGGTGGAGAGCCACTGGATGGGATATATACAAGACCCGTGCAGGTCTGTGGTTTAAATATTTCAGAACTAGCTAGCACAATTAGATTGTTCTACATTGCTACACATCATATTCTGATTGCAATCATCTTCACTAGGATTTATTTTAAAGACACCGGTTGTTTAAAGTGTGTATAATAAATGTATCGGCATGCGATACAGGTTCTTCACCCTTTTGTGAATAACCCTGTTAGTTTCCTGCTGAATTCAGTTGGTCCCCTAAACCCTGTCCTAATATCCCTTTTTAGGGTGGCTCTTTTCCCTTGTAGGGTCCTATGGAGCCACCCTTTTGTGTGCTACAAGCTGTGTGTCTTCAAACACACAGGCACATCAAGGCAAGCCACTCCTTCTCCCGACTCCCCGATCTTCCCTTGATCAAGCTAGTAGATTGACAGCTGCTGGAGACTGTGCTCTCCCTTGTGATGTTGCACTGGACAGGAAGTTCAGGGAAGCTGAGCTGAGAGAATTGGAAACATGCTGCCTGTAAGTGCTTGGGTAAAAGTGTAAACAAAAAATGCAATGTATATTTTCTTTGATCCAGATTCATTATTGAAAATGAGTTTCACTTTAAGCAACTAGCTACCAGGCTGTATTGTGAACTTTCTTACTACAATACTTAAAATCTCTGACCTGACCCATTATGAAGATAGGAACTCCTGACCTATTTTTTGATTTCCATTTTTGGCCCAGGTCAGTGGTTCAGAAATTATTAAGTCTCATAATCCAGCAGAACACACAATCAACTAGCATTTTCAGGTTAGCATGGCAGCTCCCATATTGATTTTGAGAAAGGTCTTCTTTTAGGAAAGGGACTTGCAAGCACCATTATTTCAGACTGTCATTTAACACTAACTTAACAATGGGTTACGTTCAAGAAGGCCACGGCTGTTCATCTGACAATTCTTTCCAATATTAAATGGAAACGGCCCACTTATTTTTAATCTTATTCCTCATATCACTCTGATGTGTGGCTCAAGGGTATAAACTGAAAATACACATTCTAGTGATTACTGATACTGTAAGTGTGACAATATCACAAGCCCAATTAAAACCTTGGAGCCTTATAATCAATTTTCTGAGCCGGAGGCTCTCATGACTTACACAAGGTCAATGATTTCAATCAGAAATCTTCCGGCGAGGCCATGCATTTTAATAAGCACAGTTTTCTTATGATTTAACCTGTACTTGAAACAGTAAAAAAATGAAATAGGTCATTAACATTTCCAATTAGGTTTCAAAATGTTTACACTGAAAAGTTGCAACTAGAGCTGTTAAATGATAACTTGTGTCAACACAACACCAGCTACTGTACCTCTGGACTGTCATATCTTTTTTTAAAGAGTCCCAGTCAGGATTTTTGCAACAATATAATAGACATTTGTAAGAATATGAATCTGCAGTTATTTTAATAGTGCCACCTTACCTTTCTGGGGTGGTAGTGCATGCTGTTATTTCGTTGTGTCCCCTCCCTGTCAGAGCAGAAATATCAGGCTGAGTCTCATACACTTTCAAACAAAACCCACCTGATCCAAAACTATATAGAAATGAGTAAAAACCACACCCCCAATACCAAAACATTACATAGTTACATAATGAGGTTGAATAGAGACACAAGTCCATCAAGTTCAATCAATATTGTGTGCGTTTGTACTTTTTATTATAGAATAATGTGTTTGTAAACAGTCCAAAGGATACTTGTACAGAATCCTCATCCCTCCCGCAGCCCATATTAAAATAGACAATGCTGTTCTGGTCATCAAGTGTGAAAGTGATTTGTTAACTGGAAAACATGGATAGTGGCTGCTATGTATATAACTTGTTGCAGCTGCCAATTCTTTGTCAGCCTAATACCACTAATAGCTAGATTGTTGCATTTTCCACGTTAGCTTTTATTTGGACTTATTTATTGATGATAATATATGCATTTTACCATTGGGTAGAATCTACATTTCTGCCAGGAGTTATTGTTCAGACATTGTCTTTTTTAATTTAGCTTGCAGGAGGTACAGGAAGTTTGTGAGTATTCTATGGACTATTTCTATACAACATTCTATATTTCGAAAAATAAAGAGCTAATCACTTCCTGAGATTTTGAGTGTGATTTTCACTCCTTTGCATTTAGTTTGTTTGTTATATTACATACAGAGTAGGGCTGCACTGTTACCGTTTTTTCGGTATCGAGTACAAGTAGTGATATATTTTTTCCCGATACTCGCCGATACCAAACACTGATACCGGAAGTCCCATTAAGGAAGCTGAGTGGCATGTAATGACTTGCTGGCCGACTTCCTGATTAGCTGTAATGGGGGTAATGGCTCGCTGCCCACCTTCCCGATTGGCCAGCTTCCCGACCAATAAGGAGGCCGGGCAGCAAGTCATTACACACCATGCAGATCATGATTGTTTGGGAAGCCAGCTCCATGCTCCCTGTTGACAAGGGAGCAAGGAACCAGCTTCCCGCCCATTCAGGAAGCTGGGCGGCCTGTAATGACTCGCCACCCGCTTCCTGATACCGGAGGTTCTAGTGTCGGGGGGTAAGTATCAGGAGCATTTGGGCGAGTACTTTTACTCGCCCAAATACTCAGTATCGGTGCCTTGCCCTTCCCGAGTTCGGATGATATTCATTTTTAGGGCTGCTAGAAGTGAGAAAAACTGTCAGTTTCCAAAAAAATTAGCTTTCTTTCATGTAACCCTGGCAGCATCTTTATTATATGATAGATTTTTAGTGATTATCAGCACAGAGTTTAAGGTGGAGGAATTACAGCGTTAAAAGCCAAACTTTGTTTAAATCAGCTGAATAAAATACAGGTGCATCAAAACAAAAGGTGTCCAATATCTTAGTTTGTTTTCCTTAGAAAGCCTGACCCCAGCTTGTATGCTAGAGATGGTGTAACAGACCTCTACAGAGAGACCACTGCTTCCATGCAGAGAGCAAAGGTCCTTCTCTGCAGCATCCTGATAAGGAATATGCTTTTACACATTTTTAATTAGTAGCAACTAAGACTACTTTCTAAAGAAAATGAACTATAGGACTTTAAACACCATTTGCTTTGATGCACCTGGAATGTATTTAGCCGACAGCAAATTCAGATGGGCTTTGATGTCAGATTTTGATTTTATACTTGTACTCTCTTCCTGCTCTGACAAGGGGAGAGACGGGAGACTGTATATACACTGAGTGGCCAGATTATTATGATCACCTGACGTTTGTAGGCAAATTAGCTATAATTTCACACTGAAGTTGCTAGAGGGCCAGACCATTATAAATAGGGAAGCAGGTTGTTTACCACGACAGTAGACGTGATTTGTTTCTGAAGATATGGGTAAACAACGCGATTTAACAGCCTTTGAACGCGGGATGATTTTTGGCGCTCAAGCCATGGAGCGAGCATCAGCAAAACAGCAGAGTTCGTTAAATGTTCAAGAGCAGCTGTTGTTAATGTGTTTAAAGACTGGACTGTCAGCCGAAAATCTGGGTCTGAACGTGCGAATTGTGGCCGTCAGCGACTAGTCAATGTTAGGGCAGAACGGAGAGTGGCAAGACTGGTACAAGACAACAGAAGGGCAACAGTGCATCAAATTACTGCAGATCTTAATCAGGGACCCTCTCAAATGATCTCTGAACGCACTGTTCGCTATACACTGCATCGTATGGGATATGGAAGCCAAAGGCCTGTTCGAACACCTTTGCTGTCTGCAGTTAACAAGATAAAACGTCTCACAGGAACACAAGGATTGGACAGTCGAGCATTGGAAAAAAGTCATGTGGACCGTTTAATCACGTTTCCAGTTGCATCATGCAGATGGCAGAGTGAGAAATTTGCGGAAACAGTATGAAACCGTGCACCCCACATTCAGGAGTACAACCCTTCAAGCTGGTGGGCGCAGTGTTATGGTTTGGGGCATGTTTTCCTGGCATGATTTGGGCCCTTTAAGTAAAACAAAATCACTACTATAACACTTATGATTCAGATACATTTCTGTTAGTGTATGGTTCTCTTGTTTTTATCAGGGATGAAAAACGAAATTGATAAATACAAAAATCTTTTGGTTTTAATGTACTAGCTTTGTTTGCTGATGAGTAACGGTGCTCTTTTCTTTACTCAACAATCAGAAATAATCATTCTTTAGCCACAATTTGTTTCTGAAGTCTTATTAATTGCTATGTGTAAGAATACACTCTTGCAATTGTGCTATGTTCATATTCATCAAGGTATGTGTAGGAAGAACTATTTTTACTTCTGCCCACATCAACAAATTAAATTAGTATTTAATGCTCTAGTACATTATGGGAGATATTCTGTTTGCTGTGGGCAGCAGCCAATATCTTTCCTTCAGACACTTGCATAAGTAAGGTTTTAGATGATGAAATAAAACCTCAGGCTAGCACTTTAGTGGCCACAAAATTATGCTAAGATAAATTTGTAAGAACAGCTCCTCTTCTGTTTTCTCCCTTATCCCACTTGCAGATTGGATTAAAATGCAGGGAGCTGACTTTCCAGGCAGCTTTGCTTGCAAGGTACACAATCATATGGCTACAGATCAAACACTGACTCATAGGAGACTAAGAGGCTGAGAAGCAGATGACCATATGATTGCACGGTTGCATCTTTATGCAATCTGCCTTTTAGTCTGTTACGTATAAATCTGCAATTGACTTGAAACGGATTGCAGAAACAATTTTTTTTTAAAAAAGGATAAGTACTCAAAAGGTACACAAATCCATTAAAGCTGAATTTTTAGTTATATATATTATCGCAGCTATGTATTCAATAAATACATTATTTAAATGTATTTTAAATGCAAAGCAGTGTAAGTACCTGACTTTGACTTGGTATCAGCATCGTGTATTGCCTATACAGCAGAGCTCAGACTAGAGGGGGCAGCAGCACAAGGAGCCAGTCCATTGTACTACAGTGCAAATGTGCCAACAAGGAACCTGCTAACAGGAGGAGTGAGCAGATTGACAGATGAGCTTATAAGTGTTCTGCATCTCCTTCTCTGAATGGGGGAGGGGCCAGGCATGTACGTAATGCTCACCTGCAACAGAGAAAAATCAGGTCTCCTACCCTTCCAGTCAGGGTGGTGCTGTATAACAGATAGGTGTAAATTTCAGGACTGGATGGACAGAATTACAAATCCTTTGGCATGTGAAATGTGTATTTAATCTGTGTAATTGGCATTTGCCTAGAATTCAGCTATAAGATCATGTTTGCATAATGTTGTGCCCTAAGTTTCAGGGCCCCAGAAATGCACTTCAACATGCGACAGTCACTTGCAAGCAACTCTAGGTTCCTGCGAGCAGTTCAGCAGTACAAGCACTTGGATTTCTATTTGTGCTTTAAATAGAATTGCTATAGCAAAGAACGGCTAATACTAATCGTTTGTTATAGAAAATGATAGCGTTAGATAATTTTTGACCATTCCAGATAAGAGAATATTTTAATCTTAGATTTTACCATCTGGTGAATCTCTGATTTTGCATTCTGTTATTCTAAAAACAGCTGTGAGAGTCTTGAGTGGTTGTGGAAAAGTGGAAGTTTCCTTTGAGATGGTTTGATCTAAACCAGCAGTGTTTAATTCTTTTTTCTTTTCTTTCTTTATGTAGGCATCCGGATGTGATGGGACAGAAATTCCTGACGAAGTCAAGTTGATCGGGTTTGCACAATTGAGCATCAGTTGATTATTTGCACTTGACCGTTGGGTAGTCACATTGCTTTTTGGCTATTCTAGATAAGAGAATAAAAAGGGATTAAAAAAAAGCACCACATAAGATTTGCTTTAAATCTAAAAAATTCACAAAGATGTACAAAATAATCACATGTATAATCACTGCTGCTAGCCCAAAAAACAAGAAAAAAATGACCAATTTCACGTAGCAAGTCAGTTTGCAGACTCCCTGTACAGAGACCAAGCGAAATGCACTTGAAGATAACATCTATATTTATTGGTTACTTACTGGTAATTTTCTAGAATATGTACTTCTCCTTTCACTGTAAATTGTGCTATATTTTAACTGTAATGATAATTAAGACTGCCTATTTTCTGTATTATTTTAAAAGTTAATATTCTGGAAAACTATTTACAAATATTAGCCAAACTTGAATCCTAGATTTAAGAAAATGTGAATTTTATTTTCATAAGTTTGTGAATTGCACAATGGATATTTGTGGTTAATGCAGGTCTGGGTAGTTTATTGCTCTCAAAGCATTGATGACCTAAAACTTCTAACATGCCCTGTCGGGAAGTTCATCAACAACTAGATGCCTCTAGGTCATAGGTTGACCGTAGATTGCAGCCCAGTTGAAATTGCTTGGCAGTTTTAATTTAGTAAGGAAGGGCAACAAAATAATCAACTCAGTAAGTAGAATGTAGCTATACTGTTCAGCGGTGTCTGTAGGTTTCCTTGTACAGACATGGAACCTCATAAATAGCTGTATTTACAGAACTCTTTCCCAACGACGTAGATGAAGAATTGCATAAGACTTAACTCACACCAGTACCTCTGTACAGCACCACTGTGGAAGCCAAGAGCGCAACTGAGTATATCTGAAATGTCAGACAACATTTCATAAATATGCCAATCTTGCGACGCTACAAAGCCCCATCTCTTTACTGACATAATGGAGTGGGTAGAGGGAAATATCCTGGCCATAGCAAATGGCATATGCAAAAACTTGTATTTCTGGTACTACAGCAGTAATTTGTTGCACTAAGATCCATTCTATTTTAAAAACCCACAATGTAAAATAAAGAGAACTCACCACTGCATCATCCATAGGATCACAACCTTTGTTGGTATAAAAGTGCTCACTTTATTTCCATCCAAGATGACACCAAAATGTTCCATGACTGCACATATTCCATCTATCACACATACTTCATCTATCACCTACCTGACATCACTGCCTTCTGCCTGATGCTATTTGCACCTAGTACTTCCCTCAATATAGTTTTTACAGATGTAAGGAATTGCAGTAGTTAATAGATAATGTTTACTGAGTTGATGATTTCAACGCCCTGCCTTACAGTATTAGAAAGGCAGAGTTGCACTTTATGTTTTGCCCTGATTAGCGCATTAGAGTCTGTAACTTTGATGTACATCGATTAATGTAGTCCCGCAGGAGCTGAGTACGTGGGCAGTTTAAGTGCCAGCTTGTTGCTAAATATAGTGGTGCAGTGACATGTTGGTAAACTGAGATCCAATGTGTTACACAGTTGAAACAATAATACAATCTACTGTATAGAATGTTAGGATGGCAAATACATAGCATGACCATACCATTGAACCCACTGGGAATAGTCAAGAAGAGCTCCTTGAGTACCAGCAGGAGAAGGGATGCAATCAAGGACATGCAGATGTCTCCTGGCTCATCATACTCAATGATGCATGTGCCCGTCTGTAGCCTACTTTATAGATGGATGGCAAGTTGAGGCTGATTAGAATATTTTGTATAGTCTGAATAAATGTTTCTCAGTTGTGGCCCTCAGCAGCCAACAACAGAGTATGTTTTAAAGGACACTTAATAGAACTGCAAGATATAATAGGGCTTTATATGAGAACATACAGATGAGTGTGACTCACAGGTTGGGGACTCAAAAGATGCATCTTAAATATGTCTTTGGAGTCCCTTGCTTTGCCATAAATTATTTGAGGGACCAAATCTTTTGGTACTTTGAAACAAAATTCATTGAATTTATTTCGGAAGAACACTGATGCTCCAAATCTTGGGCCTTTATTTGTTCACATTACATGATCATTAATGATGTGCAGTTACTCCTAGCAATATGATTTCCATTCTCAGTAGGCAAGTGCTATTAAAAGATTGCTGATAGTTTGCTAAGGACTACTGCACTTCTCAAGATGATCTTTCTCATATTAAAGAAAGGCCTTTGGGATCCTTAGTTAAAACATTAAGCCACTAGATCAATGATCTAACTGATCATTCTTGATATTGTCCATTTCTACAAAGTTGTGCTAAGCATGTGACACGTGAGGTGCCTTATCTTTTAGCACTGTCGGGTAAATAGGAGTTATTGTGTCTGTAAGGAGAAGTAGTTGCACATAGTAGGTGCCTTTAATACAACACAGCTTAAGAATGTGCCCCAAACTGCCTTTTACGAGTCCTACAATGTCATACTGGTTTCCTTATTGCAAATGGTTAAGATTTCCTTGCTGGACACTCAGGGAATAATAAAAAAAAAGTTGGTCTCCCTAAATAGTAATCATCCAAAACAATATCACTCTTCCAGTGCTCAGTGAACCCTTGTAAGTCCCCCTTCAGCAATCTTGAAAAATGACCATCACTTAGAGAGGCTGCCATCCTAAAGACCATTGGGATATGTCCTCGAGGTACATGTAAAAAACAACAAATGGAGACAGCACCTTCTCCATGTGCTTTAAGATAGGAAATTAACCCGAAACACGTCAGATAGTTTTTTGCATCCTTAAGGTGACATTAAAGGATTTTTTGCCCTCCCCCAATGTAAGTGTAAGGACTTACCTTAAATGATTCCTCTTAATCCGATCCTCTTCTTCCTTACTGTTGTTTTTAGCTGTCCCTCCAGCGCTGCTGTGGGTCTCCGATCCAGCGCTGACTCCTCTTCGCTTATGTCCCATGAAGTCGGTGCGGGTGCACGCTGCTCCATATACTTACCTTGTGTCTCTCCTCGTCTACCGACCGAACATCTGAACTGCGCATGCGCCCACCCCAAGATCCTTTGTGGCCGACTGAGACATTTTCAGATTTTCGGCCGGGAGCGCGTGGCGAAGACACAGGTAAGTTTAAACCTCTTTCAAAAGGTTTTTATTTTTTTGCATATATCTACTGCTTGCTAGCAGTAGATATACGCAAAAAAAATTGAGGGTTTAATAACAGTTGTGATGCAACTGGCATCCGGGAGTACCTTGGTTGTCCCTGGTTTGATCATACACCGCAAGACTTTGTTTCCTATGTGAGTAGTTATGTTATTCTTTAATTCATTGTTAATAAAACATTAAAGCAGGAGGAGAAGGCGCAGCCTCCATTTGTTCCCTAGATAGTAAGGTAAAAGGAAATGTCAACTTTAACAAATGCAGCCCTAAAACTTAACCATACACAGATTACTTTGGATCAATTACATTCTTCATACTTATAAACCATACCTAGGTGTCTATTTTTTTTCACACAAAATACACACATTTTTCCAATTCAGTCCATTTAGAAAAATATGTGAATCTTGGGTGAAAACATTTATAAAGAAGCCCACTAGTGTCCCATGAGTCTTTGCATGAAGAGGGCTACACAAGTTAATATGGGGTCAGGACTTCCACTGCCAAGGAATAATGCGCCTAATGAGTAAACATTAGGGAGCATCTCAAAAAGGTCAATCCCAATGGTACCCATATACTAGCATGAACAATCATTCAATATGGTCAGTGGTATACATTTCAGAAGACGGATGTGTATGCACAGAATGATCTGTTGACTGTCCTAAATTGAAATATTTAGCCATTATCAGACTAGGACAGTTGATAAAGATTTCTATTGACATTTATTGTTTGGAGAATTGCACATGTACAGAGACATGGCAAAAAAAATTGTTTAATACATAGATGCAGAAGAGGTTGTTCAATTCAGACACACATTTAGAGGTTGTAAACGTGTGTTTAAATTGAGTGCCAACTGCTGCTTTTGAGCGTTCTCAAACTAAAAGTCTAATAAATTATTAATTAGCACTGGAATAATAATTTCCTTAGAACTGTATGTAAAGGTCTCTCCACTTAGATGACCAAGCTTTCTTTAGAGCACACCAAGGGGGAACCCTACATGAAGGTACCCTACCCCCTTTTTTGCTTCAGCACTTTCAGAAATGCATATAGTGTATATTTTATGTATGGATTCTATTGAATATCCTTGATACTTTCCAGTCACAGACTCAACGCCTCCTTCTGTAGCTTTACATGAGTGTAGGACCCCATGTGATGCCAATTGCAACATAAAGGGGATTGTAACCAAAGGGTCAGGTTTGCTTAAAGTAGAGGTGATTTTCTGTTCTTAGTTATAATCTACAATTGTATTATTCCCACCAATTCGGTGGGTTAAATATGCTGTTAACCCAAAGACCTAAATTAAGTGGCTCCAATAATCTCCCAACGAGCAATTTTAAGGTTCACTTTTTGAAGTTTGTCTATAATCTGTGACAAGATGTGATCAATATACTGGATTGACATTTTAAACTCCCACATGATACCTAATTGGAAAAGTGGCTTTTTCATACAAATCTTACAAGTGCAGTTCATATTGTATTTGAACGTGATATAAAGCCCAGTATTTATAGGGAGTTAAGCAGCTGTAAGATCATATGAGTAGAGGAGAGTTTATTAAATGACATACCTTGAGTTTGCCATATAGCTGCTCAATGATAAATGCTACAACTTAAGGATATAGTTGTAGAACATCAAAATCTATAATTGGAGAAGTGGAAGGCTGTCATTGCTGACCTCCATCTGGAAATGCTGGTTAGCTGGCTGTTGTGCTTATCCAATTGATTCAGTGCATTCTGAGGCCTCTACCTGAAACAAATACACAGTTCAGGAGTTTAGACTTTTTACAAAGCCAAGTGACTCAAGTACTGAAGCCAGAGACCGTTGGGCAGCAAATTTGTATTTTAGGTGGTCAGCAATTACATGGTTACATAATAACAGCCCTATTTTTTTTTCAAAGCACAGGTCTCCCATAGGTCTCTGCAGAGGTGTCCCTAGTTTTAATACATTGTCAGAGGTTTTTGATGTTTGTTTTATTCTTTGTTTAAGGCAATTGATCCTAG